AAGGGTGAGAAAGAAGGATCGCTCTATCTATAATACCATATATAATGCCAACTTTTTGACAGAACGGATGTTTGGAATGGAAGTTCAAATAGCGACCAGAAAAGGTAGGTTTATGGTACCAATTCAACCGTAACCTGTTATCAACCACATAGATGGTGGTGTCCAAAAAATTAATAGACCTATTTTTCTCAGTCTCAATTGTAAATTTCAATCTGTGGTGATAAGAATTGAAAGCATCAACGACGAGGCNCACACTCCCACCAGNCGCCGCTAGAAAGATGTCATCGACGTAGCGATAATAAAAAGGCAGTACGATGTTCAAACTATTGAGACAATGCTCCTCAAGGTCCTGAAGAACAATGTCAGCAATAATCGGTGAGAGAGGTGACCCCATCGGAGTGCCAAAAGTCTGCTGATATGTGGCACCATTGAAAGTGAAATAAGTAGATGTCAAGACAAATTCCAAGGCACNGATAAAAGGATCAAGAGGTATTTTTGTATGATCCTTTATGTGATCCCACCTCTTCCTAACGCTATGATCGAAACGTCCAAGTTTATCAACTAAATAGTTTCATTTTGTTTATTGGCCGCCTACACCCGTGGCACCCAGTCTATTGAACTGGAATATTGTGTCCAAAGAAATGAAAGATGCAGGGTACAATATACCTCCTATAAAATGTGCAACAAAATTTCAATGTTTAAAAAGAACTTATAAATCTGGTACTGATCATAATAAAAAATCAGGGAATAGTAGAAAACATTGGAAATATTATGAGGTATATTACCATGAATTAGAAATCTAGAAATAATATATATTTATATAATTGGATTTAAGAAATAATTATGTATTTAAGAAGAAAATCTATGTTGCTATTTTGTAATAATGTACGTAATATCTTGTAATACCTTGTAATAATAAATTATTACAAAATAGCAACATATTTTTTATAAGTTTTTGTCTGTTTAGCAAAATATAGAACAAACCAGTAGGTTTTTAATTTTAGATTATGCATGAGATATTTAGTACTAAGCCGTGGATTGAACTACAAGCAATGTTGTTGGATCTAATGTCGACACTAATGCTATTACAAATGCTAATATAGAAAATGAAGATCCAAAACGTATTCTATCATAAAAATATAGCGCGTATTTTATAATACATATTTATTATACAAAACGAGTTTGAAAGTTTTCTTATATAAGTTACTTATAAAAGTAATTAAGATTTTTAATGAAAGGTATATATATATATATATATATATATAACTTATTTAAATTTTAACTTTAATAACATTGTATTGTTATCTGTCTTTAAATAATTAAATTATTTTTTTTTATTGCAGTATCAAAAAACGAAACTTAACCCATATAGTAGAAGAATATTTTGAAAAATCTATAAAACATAAAGAGGAAAAAGAGAAGAATACTCAGAGAAGACATGAAGAGAAAATCGTTTATCTAAAAAAATAGAAAACATAGTAACAAAGATGTTTAAGAAATAATTATATTGCACTTTGAGTTTAAAACATTTTTGTTTTACATTTAAAGATATTTTATAATGGATTGTGATGATGTACAACATGTTTGCTTTACATTCAGATATTTTATAACAGACTGTGATAAATGTAAAACATTTTTGTTTTACGTTCAAAGATATTTTATAACAAATTGTGATAATTTTTAGTTTATTTTGCACATTTGAGTTTGCTGTTGAGTGTAATTATGTTGCATATTTGAGTTTCAACAAGTTTTGTTTTATATTTAAATATATTCTATAACAAATTGTTATAATTTGTAGTTCAGTAGTTTGTTATAAATAGTAAAGTATTTATAAATAGTACTATTTATAAGTAATACTTATTATAAATAATAAGTTATAAATAATGAGATTGGTATTTTTACATAAAAAATTGTGATAGTTTTCAGTTCAAATAAACAAATTTATTATAAATAATAAAATTGCAATTAAACCTCAGGGAACACACCTATTTTTTCAATCAAGAAGAACAATCTGGGTCAATTTGACCCTGTCCACTTTTTGAGATGCTACCATTTAAAATGCACTTATCCGATTGGCTTGAAAAAATTTTCGGATATATTTTGAACAGTTTGGAATATGCCTATATAGTTTTAAAGTGTCGTTAACATTATTAACATTATAAAAAATATGTTACAAAAAAGCAAAATTGAAGCAAAATATTTTGATCAAAGTCGACGAACAGGGTCAAATTGACCCAGTGTGTTCTCTGAGGGTTAAAAGAAAAAATTGAACGAAGTTTATAAGAAGCAATAAAAATATATTGTGTAATGTTTAATATGTTACTTTTAATGTTCTTACATATACAATAAATAGTACTACAGTAAAATACAGTAATACAATAACAAAAACAGTAATACAGTCAAATACAATACAATAAAATATTAAATACAAAAAAAGAATAATATAATAAAAATACAATATTTTCTTATATCAATATCTTTAATACAGATTAAAATTTTCAGTTTGTTAAATAATGCATAATTGCCTCACGTTTTTTAATATCTTCTTCTCGTAAACCTTGGACTATTTCTTCAATTTGCGCAGCATTTTGTGCAAATTCGTTTTGTTGCACAATAATAGGCAAATCTATTTCATCATTTTGAATTAAACAAATGTTATGTAGAATGCAACATGCTACAGTATATTTCGGAATTAACCTTTACGCTGCCGGAGCGTCTATATATAGACGCTGTTGAGCAGCCTATCAAAACATGCATAAACTTCTACAAGAAGTATATATAAATACGTATAAGTACTTATATATAGTATATGTACACACATACACTCCCTCCTCTACACACACATACATACGCGCGCGCGCGCGCATACACATTTTGCCCCTGAATGTTACATGCTCAGTATTTTACAATTGACTAAAGACTCGGTACACATTATAATCCTATGCTTAGTTTCGATTTCTCAAAAGTAATTAAAAAAAAAAAATATATTTTTTTAATTTAAAAATTTAAAAACAATTTAACAATAAACAACAAAAAACATGATTAAAAAAACTAAACTAAACAAGAACAAAAAAATAAAAAAAAAAAAAAAA